TACTGCTCTAATAATAGGCTCAATCCTAAAACTGTAGATTTGTCATAATGTAACTACCAATCTATAAGATATTTGTCTACACCAACTCATCACACCTTGTGGGATTTCTAATGTTTTGGAATAACGCTAATGCAATCGAGGTTTCTAACAGTTTTCAATCAAATGACGTTATCGATGGCCCCACTTCTAAATTAACTCAGTTAATACTTTTTCCACCATTTCTTCACTTGAAGTGGACAGGTAACTCAATGGACCTATCATTACTGTTAAACTAAACTCGGTCGATAAGGGACACTCACTACCATCCTAAAACGTCAAGAGGACCGCACAATCGGCTGCCTACTACCAGTGGTCTTGCATCTATGGAGCCTGTTATCAATCAACTGGTTAGGACAACAGAAAATAACATCAGCACCAAGTTACTGTGAGTCCCTTCCTGTTTATCCTGTATTAACTTGACTAGCAATTAATATTATTTCTCCACTCGTTCTCATATCCACAACTCATATACTTCTATACTTTTTCCGCCTGCTTAAATAAACAACTATCTTACAATATACCCTTCTTAACGCTTATACTCTGATTGGCAAACTATACTCTATACTATAGTCAACAGAGGCACTGCATAGATGCTTTACCCACAGTCCATAGCTTGTAACTGTCTGATAAGCTTGTAAAATGGTACTTATAGAAATAGTGCTTTCCAACAGTTTGTGAAACAGAGGATTGTGCGAGGTATGACGTATATACAAAAATAATGCTAAATGAGCCTAACATCACAAAAGGAGGGAGGGTGGAGTTACTGACCAGCAAGCATTGATGGTGAGGGCGATAACTTTAATCCACTCGTGTTTGTGGGGACAGAACATTTTGTATTTATCAGGCTCCTCATGATTGAGAATAAGTCAATCAATCTGTGATATAGATTGTTTTCCTACGCTCACCACTCAAACTCATGTTTCCAATATTATGCTGGATTAGCTATTCTACTAAGACAACCTATAACATGCTAACTCGGATTTTTACACTAGGATTGTGTGGCTGGCATCGGACAAACAAAAAAAGAAAAAAAGTTAGACAATAAAAGATGTAGTCATTAATATTCTTAACACTTCACCCTCTATATACACACCCTTCTAATAAACCGCTTTCCTAGTAACAGCCTTGACTTCCTTTCCTTCATGTGAGCTTACTCCAACTTGTTAAACATCACAACTCATTGTTCTTTATTAGTACATTCTATAATATTGAGCCTCTGACTTCATTTTACTAACAAGACATAATATGAATTTATTCTAATTTATTATACCTCTGTCCGTTCTACTACACTATGTTAAGCAACGTTTTGCGTTCATATCCAAGTGCCTTGCTGCTCTTCTGTTTCTCTTTTTTCTTCAGAATCTTGCTCTGAGAGAACGGCTATGAAACTTCTGACGTTTGGAACAAACTTGATGTTTGCGTCCTCTCAAGGTCATAGTTTACAGCAAGCGCTCTACGATTTCACTTTATAACAACTATAAACTTAATAAGTTGGGAAACATTTTGTGAACCAACAAATGTTGTGATTTATAGATCATGCCTGTAAAAACGGTGTGTACCTGCACATGCAGAAATATATTATTATTATATTATATTATACAATGAAGATAACTTTCCAATCCTTCCATATGGCGGCTGCAACTCTGGAGGCATTGTGTGCTAACAGACGTCGGTTGCCATCTGGAATCCACATGCACCCGAATAGGCCATAAGATGCTAGGACCAAACACAAAGGCAAGTTGGAGCTGACCATTCCACGTGTGGGCAGTTTCGATGATAAAAGACGTGTAAAGTACAGAGTCTACCGACTCGGCAAAACTTATGTAGGTGGGCTACCTATCCATTAACGTAAGGCTTATACAAACAAACAGGAAGAAGCTCACGCGTTTCAAATTGAAAGCATAAACTGCTTATACATGAACACCGTGAGTCTACCAAACAAAATGGATGAGCAATGTGAACTTAGCAATACTAATAAGGCTCATCTGATAGGAATATCTGAACCTTAGATATCTTCTCAGTTCTCGAACCAGGAGTCGACAGTACCGGGGATGTCTTTGTTTCGCAACGAAAGAAAATCAGGAATTGGGGGTGGAGTAGCTGTATACATACGATCTTGCTTGGAGGTACACCAAGTTCATAACCTCGAGTTTAACAATCTTGAGGAATCCATATGGTGCTCTGTAAGATTGTATACTACTTCAAGGTGTCTAGTCGGAGCCATATATAGGAAGCCCACTGCCGACATCGAGTATGACAGTCGTATGCTGGAAGAACTATCCCGCTCTACTCGTCTCGGTTTCACTCATATCCTGATTCTAAGGGACTTCGATCTCCCTAGAGTCAACTTTGCGGAACATACGCATATTGGAAGTTAAAACTCAACTGAAGCTCGGTTCTTCAACCTCATTGAGGACTTGGGATTATACAAAAATGTGAAGTCGGCAACTCGTTGGAGAAACGGTCAAACACCGTCGCGCTTAGACTGTGTATTTACAAACGAAGAATTCCTAGTTGACAACCTTTCAATCCTGGCTCCCTTGGGAAAAAGCGATCACGCCGTTATAGCCATCAGTTTTGTCAGCAAAACTGAGCAAAGATATCCCACCAACAACTTGCGCTGAAATTTCAGACGGCTGAATGTGTCAGCTTTACAGGACTATCTACAACAGGTGGATTGAGATGTTCACCCTCAACTCGATGTGGATGCTCATTGGAACTTCATACTGCACACGCTCATATGTGTTACAAATCATTGAGTTCCTCAAACGGTCCCGCATAGCTATCAGCAACTCACAATCATCAAGAACTGCACTTTTCGCCTGCTAAGCTGCAAAAGGCACTGTCGGGCAGAGTACAAAAGAACTGACAACAATGGAGAGTACAGGCAATACAAACATATCAGGAACATATGTACGAAGAGAGAGAAGACAGGCTTCAGTACCAGATAATGATTATGGATAAATTTGTCCTCAATCCGAAAAGCTTATTCCGTTATGCAGCCTCTCTTCGTCAGGCCAAAAATGGAGTTTCCCAACTGCTAGGTCGTAACGGCCCGACCAACGACGACGGCGATACCGTTAACCTTTTGGCTGAACAATACTCTCGGACATTTCAACCGAACGACATAAACTATACTGACGAAAGCTTCATCTGCAACTCCAAAGGACTTTCCGAAGTGAATTTGAGCGTTGACATGGTATTCCAAAATTGCAGTACTTAAGACTAGACACTACTCCTGGCCCAGACATGGTCCATTCTGCCATACTGACGGAAGCAGTCTCAATCCTGACAACGCCGCTTAGTGTGATGTTCTCACACTCGCTAAGTCGAGGAAAACTACCGGAAAACTGGAAGCTGGCTCACATCACACCAATTTTCAAAGGACGTCGACGCAGCGAACCTTCAAATTACCGGTTGCTCTTCTCTCAATACCTTCCAAAATTATGGAGTTCCTGATATGCGATGGTATATAGGACTATTTAAATGTCCTTAAATTTCTTCTCACCACAACAGCATGGTTTCAGAAAGGGTTATTCTTGTATAACCAACTTGCTGACTGCGGTTGACAGATGGACAAGCATCCTTGCGCGCAAGCGAAGGGTTGATATTCTTAACCTTGACTTCTCAAGAGCTTTTGATAGGGTCAACCATATATGTCTTATCAATAAGCTCAAACGATTGGTTATCAGACCACCTCTAATCGATTGGCTCACTTCATACCTGAAAAATCGACATTTTAGGGTCAGGATTAATTTCACTTTATCTCAGGCCATGGAATGTCCTAGTTGGGTCCCCCAGGGATCAGTATTAAGACCTCTTCTCTTCTTGATTTATATTAACGATCTTCCACAACAGGTGTCGTCAGACTTATTACTTTTTGCTTGTGACGTGAAACTTTGGAGAGAGATACACAACTGAGACGATATAAAGGCACTTCAGGGGGATCTGACTCGACTTCAAAGTTGAGCAGACGATAACGGACTTACCTTTAACACTTCGAAGTGTAAAGTAGTCCATCTGCGACATGTCGCAGACTACAGTTCCAACTTAGGTAACTCCCTCCTAGTAGTATCTCAAGTCGAAAATAATTTAGGAGTCTTGGTGCCCTACGATTTAAAGTCTTATGCTAACTGTGACCAAAATGCCTTCCGAGCGAACCTTGCACTGGCAACACTGAAGCGCATTTTTGGCCAGTTTAACGGAAGAACTTTCATATAATCTTCAATAGTTTTATCCGTACCCATTTAGAGTACGGAAACATAGTATTTCCTCCCTCACTCAAAAAAAAATAATTTCACCCTGAAGCGTATCCAACGGCGAGCCACGAAATCAGTTCGAGGACTCAAATTTAAACCTTACGAAGAGCGCCTCCAATCACTTAACCTTTACCCATTGGAGTATAGACGTCTTAGAGATGACATTCGGATGGCTTATAGTATCCTTAACACTTCTGGACATCCTCTCAAACACCTACTTAAGCTTAGTTCCAACACTAATCTAAGGGGTAACACCCAGAAATTGGAGACACAACATAGCGGAACGGATTGTAGACACAACTTCTACTCCTTAAGATTTGTAAAATGCTGGAATTCGCTGTCGGCCGAGCTAGTTCAAGCGACTTTCCAGGAGTCCTTTAAGAGGCGACTGGATCTATTCTCAAGGATTAAAGATAGCATCATACTATGATTTACCAATTTCTTTTTCCTCTTTTATTGCTAACATACCTAGGTTCCTGCCTGAAGGTTTTGATGATCCACTGCTACTAGACACGGAAACCTGTTAAGCGAAAGCTTCTTCTACTCCGTCCACAACCATTTGAACCATTTACTCACCTTCCTTATACACTAAACACATTATTCAGGTGTGATACAACTCCAAAACATCCAACCTCATACTCTCTCAAAACTGAAACCGAAATTGAGCACTCGCGGTCAGTTCGGGTGTTTTGGTCCGAAACAATGGCAAGTGCTGTACGCAAGAAACTTGTTATTGTTGGAGATGGTGCATGCGGAAAAACTTGTTTACTTATTGTATTCAGTAAAGACCAATTTCCCAAAGTATATGTTCCCACTGTATTCGAAAACTATGTTGCAGATATCGAAGTTGATAACAGACAAGTAGGTGTATATGTACTTATTATATGTGGCAGGTTGAATTAGCTCTTTGGGATACTGCTGGCCAAGAAGATTATGATAGGTTACGGCCACTTTCTTATCCTGATACGGATGTAGTCCTGTTGTGTTATAGTATTGATTCTCCTGATAGTTTCGAAAACATTCCTGAAAAATGGTTACCAGAAGTAGATACCACGAGTTCATAAATCCTATTATAGATCCGGCATTTTTGTCCTGATGTCCCCATTATCTTAGTTGGAAACAAAAAAGACTTACGACATGATGAGGCTACGAAGAATGAGTTACATAGAACCAAGCAACTTCCCGTCACTTTTAATGAGGGTAAAGAAATGGCTGAAAATATTAATGCTTATGCGTTCTTTGAGTGTTCAGGTACTGTCTTTACTTATTGTCTAGCTTTCTTTAGCTAAGACCAAGGAAGGTGTCAGTGATGTTTTTGTAGCAGCTACTCGAGCCGCCTTGAATTCAGCGAAGAAGAAGAGGAGGAAATGTGATTTAATTTGATTCCCACTGTTCTCTGAATTGTCTAAACTTGATTTTCCGGTCTCCAAAACGTACATTCCCCTCCTAATTCTTCCTCAGGACCTTAAATTGCTACTTCTATTGACTGCTTGTTTCTTTAACGATCATACTTTTTGTTTACCAACAAGACAATCCATTCCACGGAAATACTTACCATTTATTTTTGTCTTGATACTAAGACAGGGCATGCCCCATGTAACTTATATTTATTGAGAATACATTATTATAATCAGTCGGCTTCTTAACCTTGTTATCTAGCATTCATGCCTGTTGAGTGTAAAAAAATATACAAAGCCAGTTTACAACTAAATTTTGTTCCAAGGTTATCCGGTCTGGAAAATAATTGCGACTCACCTACTTACTATGTGTTACGCTTCGTATATTCACAAGAGTGAAGCGGGAAGTTGCCTTGTTTATTTCTGTTTGGTTTACGTAGCGGCACAGGTTCAGATTAATTAGTGTTACTTCTCCAGTTACATCTAATGAGTCGGTTTTGGCTCAAAAGAGTGTACTGGCCATGAATACTGTTTTATTTCACAATGCCATTACCTGCTGTTTGTGTTATATAGTGAGTGTTTTACTTATCGTTGTTGTGAAACGTACTTTTTAACCCTTATTTGTTTGCCAATGTAGTTTCGCCGACTAGTATGAACTGAATTTGTGTGGTAGTGGAAAATCCGACACATCGCATTGCCTAGGGGATAGGTGGACTTGTATCACGAAACAACTTGAGTGGCTCAGTGGAAATCAGCCTAGTCTACTGCTACCAAGAAAGCTGGGTTACACTACTTGTGTAAAGAGCCAGCGACTTGGACTTGTTATAAAACGGATCTTTTTGTTCCTAACCTTTTTCCGTACTTCGAATCGTCTCAAGGTATTTTGAACATATACTGTTATAACCAGTGTGATCCATTGTCCTGAACATCACAAATCAGAAAACCTGGGTTATCAAGTATTTGGTGGAATTCGAGATACGTCTGCTACATCTCAACAAACAACTTCATTCCTTACCACTGTTTGGTTGACTAGCGGTTTAGAACGCCAAATAATATTCCCGTTATTTGTAGCCCAAATGTAATTAATCAGTGTTGGTTGTATTCTGATTCATCTATTTGTATGGTCAGTAACAAAGCAACTAGAGATATACATAACAAGGTAATTCTCTTCACGTTTATATACATGCTGTGCAAGTGGATAATTTATGATCATGTTCTCAAGAGAACTAGAAACGATCTAAACGTTTTATAGACTGGATAGCACAGCTTCCCTCTGTGGGGCAATCCTAGGTAACAGAAATCTTAGTGGTGACTTACTAATTAAATTGCTTGACTTTCAGCTAACAAATCTTAGGTCTCCACACTTCAGTTTGGTTAACAGGTTAGTTGGTCGTTACTGATGGGTTAAAAAAGACAATGCAGCCTAATTAGATTGCACAGTAGTACTTTGTCAATAATTATAAACGCTTTCGAATGATCTTAATGAAGCTATCTTACGTAGACAGTGTCTCCCGAACTAAGTGTAATTTCTTGAAATAGCAATTATTTTTGTGTGACTGCTGATTCCATCTTGGTCGTCCCTGTCAACAGTGGCAGCTATCGCTTTTTTATAGACACCACTGTATCAATCAACCTTATCTGATCAATACATCCTGATAATTTAAGTAGATTAGAACATAATCAATGTGTTTCTCAGTTGGCAGTTACCGATCTATTTGAGAGAAAAATGTCGCAAACCTAATAAGCAGGACGGAAATCTAACTCAGACGAAATTTCTATTTGTTTGCAAGTTACTGTTTGTTAACACCAACGTAACTTCCTTGCAGTTCACTTTTAAGGAAACAGATGACACTTTGTTTACATGTGACGGCTATTGAGTAGTTTGTCTCTGGTCGCTGTGTATACAGTGCTCGGGATATATTGTTTGCTAACTTAAGTTTCCCACTTATAAGTGTTAAACAGCTAATTAAATTTAAAAACTATTCAAACGAACACATAGATTCTTATAAAGTGGTACATTGTTTTTTTCGACTGACTTACATAATCTGTTGAAATGCTTGGATAGTCATCTTTTCGAGAGAATTTCTCACTCTGAATAGATTAGCTAGTTTTCACTGCTAAATTATGTTAATATTAAATGACTTTTGTGCAACCATGAGAGAATGCAGTGAATTAATTATATCTCATGCACTTTATTGCTCCTGCTTAGTTTCTTTAAACAACGACTCATCTGTTATTGGCGGTTGTCAGATTGTAGAAACGTATCTACTATAATAGTAAATAAGTCTCCAGGTGATCGACTTTCATCCCGCAAACATTAAGGATGTGGTAGTCTGGAACTGGTTCCCATTCTAATGAAATAGTATTTCTTGTTTTAATTCTGGCAAGGTAGCTTCGGGCTAATGCTGTCATACTTTTCCTATTGATCGTTCCGGCCACATATTTGGCATGGAAACGGATCGATAGCGTTATACAATCAAGTAAAAAATATCAGGTCATTTTTAGTCTGAAAGCAAGTTGTTTTGTTTGTTGGTCGGCGTTATTAGTGTTTGCACCTATTTTAAGTGTGTTTAAAAAGAACTACACATATTAGGACGTAACCATATGAAGTATTTACTCATGTGTGTACGTATGAGCGTAAATTAATATTACCATGTAAAGTGTATATAATGCATATAACCAGGTCTGTTCAATTTAGTTAAGGATAAATAGCGTGTCATTAAACTCCTAAATGCCTTGAAGTTTAGAATTAGACTTCTAAACATCAGGTTAATCGATTCCTGGACTATTTAAGGATGTCAATCGATGTTTATCCGGTATCCGGATTTTCATCCTTACTCCCTAGGATGTGACTGCATGTCTCATTATCAAAGTAACGACTGGATTCGACTGCTAATTTGTTCAATTTTCACTTGAATCTCCGAGTATTGTATGTAATAACCTAAAGGCTTGCTTCAACTGGCGATTTTATTACACTAACCAATAATGAGTCAGTTTCGCGTTCACATTAACAGTCTGGCTTCACATCGCACGCTGATAATCATAAGATTAGTTACTTGCATTTACCAATGTGCGTGATATCAATATATTTTCAAAGAAGAAATATGGATCAACTAAATTTATAGGATTTTCATTCTGAATAGCATCCTAACTTTAATCCTGAATGTCTCACTTAATAATGACGAGATTTCATTTCAACACCTTCAATAATCGAATTAGATAACTCAATCTAGAAACTTTATACAGAACAATCAACTGACGCATTGAGTCATTATTAGTTCTCCCTATCAATGTAAAAATTATGGAGTAATGCTTCTGTTCAAAGCTTAAAATTGATAGTTCACGTGACCTACTAGTACTTATTACTCATTGTTCGTGCGTAAATCAAAATAATTGCATGTTTCTTCCATCTCCCAAAACAAGTAAAGTAGGAATTATGTAAACCGCTGGTATATTTATTGTCTGATTTCTCTACATAATCCTCGCTTCCACTCTTTATTTTGATTATATTTACCGACTAATTGAACGTGTGACTCTTCTAATAGAAAGGAATGTTTTCCCACTTGACATAATATGAAAACTGTCTTGTAGATTGAGTCAAAAGACTGCTCTTTGCGATCCAGTCAGATTCATGTCCATTTGAATAAAGTATGTAGTCCTAAAGATTTTTCATGTGATCACAATTCGAAGTTAGATGAGAATGGAGTATAAGTCAGGCTAAATTAAATAATATAACAGATCCGAAACGCCTTCAGCAGTATCGATCTCTCAGAAACATGGTTGTATCTGAGACTAATGGTAGTGAAAGATGGGACTGAAGGAATTGCAATTCATAGTGATATAATCCTCTGGATGCACAACAGTGTGCTCATATGACTTCAAGTGAAGATGCTGCTTAGTAGTGTGGCATATGAACTCCTGGTCTGTCGGGTGAGATGTAAAGAACAAATCACTATACTAGTTTTGATTCGGTGTGACTCTGGTCAGAAGGGTGGTACGTTTCTCTCAAATTAAGTAAAATGTTGGGTGCTTGATGCTAAGCTATTTTAGTACAGGATGTAATAGCTTCAAAAATCTGGACGAAGGTGCTAATCAGCCCAGTCCTCATCCATTGTTAAGATCCGCCACCATATTAGTCGTTCTTTATTGCACCACTGAATTTACCTGATATAGTTCACAGTTCGTCTCATCTGTTGATCTGAAATTTTCTGACGAACATTACCTAAGCTGTGTCTAGTAGTTTTGACTCCTTAGCAAAAATGACAGTGCAGTTGTAACTTACGAGTTCGTTACTAACAGATTGGTGTTAAGCCTTTTGTATGAAAAGTTAATTTGATAGCAGTCAGTTCTTCAACTTCCTTAGAAGACTTAATATTTAGCTATGGAGCTGTGTGTCTAAACTACCGACTTGTATCATGGTTGGTTATTAAAAAGAACGAGCATTTCGCTTCCTGAAAAATGGGGAATTGGTCTCTCACTGAGTTAAACGGCAAAACACGGGAGTGTCAACATTGCTATTGGTATCGCTGAGAACAAACAGAAATAAGTCATTTCGAAATCAATACGACCGAGCAATATTCAAATTATAAACGTAATTCAATACCTAACTTGTCATTAGCCATCTCAAGAAGTGCTTTACTAACATAATTAAAAGACGAAATATGTCAAGGAATTCCTGATCAAATCAGTATGATGAACACTTCTCAATTAGTGGATACGAGATGCACACCAGGCTTCATATTGTTTGTTGTATTGAAATCCTGCTGTGCATTTTTATCGTTTGTGTCCACTATGAACGATTAAGAAAATTCCGATTCCCTGATTCAATTGTTGGTTCGCTTGCGTATTACATTCGTTCCCATGTTCTGTGTACGAGTACAGAAATACAATTCCTTACCAAACGAAGTATTGACCTGTTATTGCTACTTCATACTCTTGGTTTATCACTTTCTAGCTAAGCATATACTCGTGGTTGAGGGTTATTGC